ACACACATATATATATATATATATATATATATATATATATATATACATATATATATATACATATATATATATACATATATACCCAGATACATATTACGAGAGATCTTGGTTGTTTTGACATTTATGCGGTGAAGTAAAATTATTATTATCGGTCGAGTTAGATAACGAATTATATAGAGCATTAATGGTTAAAAGTCTTAGAAAATTGTCTTAAAAGCACCGCAGATTGATTGGACCGGGAAAAAGTGATTATGTACATTACTCTTCCACATGATAAAGTCACAGGACAAATGACATCAGAACTACGTGACATGGATTTTCAAATAGTGATACTCTAGATATCAAATATTAACACTGTTGATATCAGTCTTAACGCGTACAGGTATTTCACATCGGAGATAATAAATGAGAATGAATTAGTCTAAAAACAAGTGAAGCTTTCAACTTTAACCTGATGGAAATCTCAGAAAATGCCCGTAACTTGATTCACCATTATGCAATAAAATCTGAGTGGAAAGAAGCAAGGTGACAAACTACAATGTATAGAAAATTCACCGGTTAAAATCATATATACACATGGTTGAAATTATTTAACAAAATTAAAATTTCAGGTTCAGATATTGCTGCACTTAATAATATATCTAGAAGTGTGGTCGGTTAAATCCAAGATTTAGTAGATATATCATTATAAATAAGACGGAAGTGTGCAGAAGTAATTGCTGTACTGGTCAAGTAGAAAGGAGGGCAGCAACGATCTTTACACAACTTTATGTTCATCAGCAGGTAGATGATCAAATTCGTAGTCACAATGGACGAAAGCTCTTTCTACTTCCGCCAAACTTTCAATACTAGTCTGTAGCGCTTCGCTAATGTCATGCGACTCGCGAAGTGTCATTTCTGGATTCATCACAATGTGAACTTCTACTAAAAAGCGTGTGCCGAAGTGGTATACGTAAACAGTATCGATGTAATCTATTCGCTTGTCGTGCTCCACACATACCTGTAAACGCATAAATTCGAATTACACTTCACTTGCTCTCAGAAGCAACAGCTTGGCAAATTGATTCATTAAAAAGCATGATTCAACCAATACCATGGTTTGCTTTTTTATGTCCATCACGCTATTTATCTTCATTCATAATTGTATTTGGTCGCGCATACAATGAATATAAAACAAAATGGTGTCTAGCAGCGGTTAGCCAACCATTGTTAATACTAAACACAATGATGGACTAGTTCGGATGGGAAAACAAACGACCTTCACGATACGATTAATGAACTCTGGTTCAGCCGACTTGCCAGAAAGCATTGCTAAATGTTCCTTTCCTGTGAAAAACCAAGTAGTAGCAATGTATATGGACACAGCAATGGCACCGATTGGATCAAAATATATCCAGTAATTTGATGCGATCCAAGCACATACCTGCAATAAATCATTTATGACAAATGAGTGAAGAAAGTTTTCGTAGGACATACGGAAAGCAGTGAAAACAACAATCACAAGAAAAAAAATTGGAAGATTTCCGAAAAAATAAGCACAAGATAACATGAAATCAGAACAAACTAACGACTAAAAACTCACTATGGCGACTGTATTGGATATACAGTCATTCCAGTGATCTTGCGCCAACACTGCTACTGAATAATTATAATCCAATCTAAAAAAAGTCGAAAAAAAACCCACGTGTTTTTCAACAACTTGCTGTCCGTGAAAAAGTAGGATTATCCAATCGCTGAGTGAATGCATATCATTACATAACTGCACATTAAGGACAGTCGTCCTTAGTGTGCAGTTGTATAATGATATGCATTCAGCCGACTTGATGATATCATTTATTATAATTCTAATTCGACTTAAATTGGTGTGAAACTACCAAGAAACTGCACTAACTTTTTACATAGGAGCATGAGGGCGAATTTGATGAATACAATGGTAACCATAATGAATAACGAAAAAATATCCACTCTTGGATTGACCGTATCATGGATAACTGACTCTAGGGACTGCACTACCATTTGAACTGACGCCACTCCCATTATAACACTTACAATTATCTATAAATATCTTCTAGAACTTTCAAATCTGTAGCAAAGAATGGATTAGGAAATAAACCGACAAACCATTTCAGCCAACGACTACCGCTGATTAAGTTCTGAATCACGGCGCTAAAGACTAAGGTCTAACATTGATGAAGTGAGGAATATTTTTTCCTGGAGAATGATGTAGTAACAAAAAGAAATAATGAGGTGTAACTAACCAAAGCGATAGGTTCCAAACGTGTCCTCCCTCTAGGATACATGTACGGATCGCGTTTTCTAATGGCACGATCCGTTAACCAAATCACCAAACCCGAAGTGATATCGACAGCTGAATCAACTAGCGAAGAGATTATTGACAACGAACCGGAAAGATATGCTGCTGCAGTCTGCAACTAATAGTGAACTTAGAGATAAATAAAAAAGCGCAGTAAGAGTTGATAAAACTGTTAATAAGTGGTAATATTATGAAATAAATAACCTTAGCGATTGCTAACGAAACGTTAGCAATAAGAGTAGTCATGGCCAACCATCGTGCCGCCTTATCCGCCGATACATCCATTGAGGATTGTACTCTAAAAAAATATTGTTAGTCAAAAAAAGAGATACAGAAAGTAAAAAAAATTTTTGAAAATTTTATTAATGTACCTTTTTTCATGACTTTTACTGCAGGTGTTTTGTGTTTACCATTTGTTGAAGCGCTCTCCGGGAATATTTTTTCTGAATTGGAATCACCCTCAAGCAATATCATTTTGGATTCGATGTGCTCTTCAACATTCCCTTCCGAATTTTGTATTTTTTGCTTCCGTCGTCGGTGTTCCTGAATAAAAAACAAATAAATAAAACAAAAAGGAAAATTGTACTGTGTTCCACTGCTTGTGAGGGTGTGACATGTCGAGTGCTTTGTTAAGGATTATTAAAATAGCAAGAAGTAAGTTGCATTACCAAAGACAAAAATTCAGAACTGGCTAATCTAATTGAATAAATCACCAAATGAAGTGCAAAGACCACAGGGCCACCTAAGAGAAGCTTGTTGAAACAGCGGCTTACTGGTAGTAAATATCACAAATATGAATATTGAAAGAAAAAAAATTACAAAAGGAACAAACTTCGATGGCGGTGCTATCTCTCTTGAAATTCTCCACGAGGTCCGACTGTTTTCGATAAAATTTGCTCACTCGTTTCGGATTTCTGTTTAGCAAAAGCAATGGGTGGGAGAACATGATCCCAATGGAAGACGTACTGTAACTGTTGTAAGAAAGAGTTGTCTTTCTATCAAGTAACTGCTCCGTTGTTATATGACCCGCACTAGGACAAAATCTGGAATATATACGATCAAAAAAAAAAGTAACAAAGAAAATCAAATGTGGAAGTATGCTTTATGATTTATTAAAAGGTGTCCTTAAATCTAAACCTGACATATTTGCTGCTTTATTTTTAACTGCGAACACTTGTCACATTTAGCATTGGAAATACATTTCAATATCACTGCTCTCATTACCATATGCTCTTTACACTCTTTGCACTTTGGCGATAATTTTCGTCACAGTGATGCAGAATCAAACAAGTGATCCTTTACCAAAGTATTACATGAGTTAACAAATCACGTCCACGATCACATATCGTAATGCACCTTATAGCTCACCATTAATTTTCTCATAGCAACAGCTCGAAAAAAGATAGCATCTGCTGCACTTCAAACTGATAAGGAGTAGACTAAGAACCAGCTCAATTAACAATTAATATATGCAGGTCATAACTCTTAAGTAATATAAATAATAGCTGATACTATTAAAAAATTCCTTCCTTTCCTACCTAGTTTTCCAAACTTCGGTATGTGACCATAACACATGTGAACCAATAATAGTACGGTGTTTTGTAAAATTGTTTGCTTATGGTTAATTTATCAGCACTTCACTCCTCTTATCGCTCACACATTTTCTCACAAAAATTCCTATCAACAATGATGTGCTTCTCTTACAGGATAAATTTAGAAGTGAACTCTGCAACCAAAATGATCACTTTGCACATTCGGCTTATTCAATTTTAAAAAAAAGAAAGTCTACACAGCATATTACATTAATAACTTACACATTCTACTTGTAAAGGTAAAATAACGAAGAATTATACTTTCAGTTCATTCTGATCTCATACCTTATAGGATTTCTCAGAGGATGAAGAACACTACATACAGATATTTTAAATGATAAAAACAACTGATATCAATGGTAGCTAACTTACGCAAATTCATCATCTTCACTCGTTTCCATTTCTTCATCATCGTTAAAATCAGGAAGTTTAAAAGTCACCGGTATATTCGTCTTTTTCGTACCATCTAATGTCGTAGAATCGCTCATTCTAGCAACCCGTAACGTTGATTCGTTACTTGAGCCATCACCTGCCATTCCTCTGAAATATCTTCCATGAATTTACAAGAAGCAGATATTAAGTTGTATTCAAATAATCCATTGATACATCGAAGCATGACACATCATTTTCCATCCCCCAAATAATGGAAAATAATGGGAAATTATTAGGACATGAAATAAGTTCATAATCCCGCCTCCCAACTATCACCCAGAGTTTCTGGAATACTTTTGCGATTCGAGCATTAACCCACCGATAAGTAAAGGAACCGTCTCAGAGTACCTAATAATAATTAGAGTAAGGATGTTGCAATTTGCAATGTCGTAGGGATGTGAGTATTCAAGTGTGCGGTGTTTCCATAGATGTCAAGAGGTACGCGATCTCTGGGAAATGATTTATAAGAGTTGTCAAAGATCGGTTCGTGTTTCATTTTTGATCTAATTACTTCAACATAACATCATGAAATAAGAACCAATAGCTGATTGAAGTGATTAATGAACTAATTGCCCTCAATGCATTGCATCATCCTCGTTTTTGCAGTTCAGTAATTACTCTAGCGATTTGCCCCCGAATTGTAGCATCGCAAAAGTATTTGTTCTATTACTTGCAAGTTCATTTTCCACTCTCTTTATGTGCACGATGGTCATGACCGAACATTCTTGAGGTTTTGTCATCATTTTCTTACCATGCGACAATGTATTCTTTACTTACATTAAGTCAATTCTCGAACAGCAATTGTTAGCATGAATTATCCTCACATTCAAACAGTAAATTTTCCTACACTCAGATACGGTAAACCTTCAGCTTCTCCAAAAGAGACCTTAAATATTCGGTTATTTTCATTTGCTTCGATATGGCTTTATCTGTTATGCTTGCAAGATTTGATGAAATCTATTTAATACGTGTAGTTTTTTCAATTAAAACCATTTTTAAAAATAGAAAGAAAGCAAAGATGACGAACGATATTGAAGTGAAGATCGAGAATGATGATGCAAGCAATTAGTGTTACTGAATGAAAGAGAAGGCACATAAATTGATAATTACCAACTGCATATCGAAAATGACGGGACATCGACTGATGATCAATCGAGTCCTGTGATGCTTTTCGTTATGCCGTCTCGTAAGTTCTTTGTTCAAAGCAAGCTTTTGACAGTGAGCGCTGGTCTTATTTTGCATAGATGATGATTTTTCTTTGTTTGAACATTTGTTTGAGAAGTGGTGCTCTTAAAAAATTTCCGAGAAGTATTATTTTCAAATACCACGAATTGTCACGATTGTCCGGTCATACAATCAATACATCTATTTGCAGTAACATACCAAACATTCATTTTACTTTTTTTTTTTAGATTTCTTTTTCTTTGAAGTATGCTGGCCATTGGAAAAAAGTCTTGTCATCGATGAAATCATTCAAATAATAATTTCTACCTAATGAAGATGAAAACTTCTTGTTTTTACTGTATAAAAATACTCATTGCCTAAACTTCTAGTCTTGTAATAAAATTACTTAAATCCACCTGTTCAATATATATATATATATATATATATATTTGTACAGACTACTGAAAACGGACTGAAAACCTTTGAAAGATTCAAAAAGGTTGAACAAATGGAAAAATTGAGTAAAAATAAAAATGCATCACTGGAAGAGCTTACTGCGAAGCAAATGAAACAGACATAGAGAGATAAATAGCAAGGGAACAAACTGTACGTGAACTGTTAGCAATAAGATCAGACAATGAGAAGTGTTGAGCTATAGTTCTGTTTTATGTCCTTAAACGATTAATAAATGAAGAAACTAATTTTCGCGTTAAAGATCATTTGATCGATAGGAATCTGAAATGTTTATGGAACCTCCATCACTCACAAATGCCGGCAGATATACAAGTGGCTAATGTATAGAGGGTGGATTTTGAAGAATATGGCTTGCTCTTTTGCTGCATTTGTGTATTAGATATCAATCTTTTATGAGACGGATAATAATTTTACAGAATCGATCTTAATTTGTCATCTAGTGACATGAAGATCCGAGGAGCATGGTATATGTGTCTTGGTCAAAAGAGTCAGTCGGAGTAAGGGTTGAATAGATAGTCTTGAAAAAGCTTGACTGAAACAAGGTGAGCATTCTCTTATGCATGGAACTCTTGACTGGAAGCTTTGAACTTCGTAAGTTGATTTAATTGTTGCAAGGATGCCTAAGTTTGTAGTAAACTTCTTCTACCGCTCTGTTATTGTTACAAAAGAGTCAGTCGGAGTAAGGATTGAATAGGTAGTCTTGAAAAAGCTTGACTGAAACAAGGTGAGCATTCTATTATGCAGGAACTCTTGACTAGAAGCTTTGAACTTCGTAAGTTGATTTAATTGTTGCAAGGATGCCTAAGTTTGTAGTAAACTCCTTCTACCGCTCTGTTATTGTTAACGACAAAGTTCACTGTACTCTTTGACCTAAACCCATACATATATTTGCTTTATAGCATTAGATGCTTTAACAGTACGTAATTAATAAATTTGCTAATCCTGAATATATCCAATACTATTAGTAATGCAGCTTTCTATTAATGAGATTGTGTATAGGAGAATTACTGAAACTGGAACAATTATTTTTATTGGTAGCAAAAAGGCTAATTGTACACTTCACTAACTTGAATAGTTAGAGTGTTCCTCGTTATATTCTTTTCCTCTCTCTAGACTTCTTCCATCATTCCTTTTCTCTTTTTTCCAATAGCTACGTAATTTTTTATCGATTTGCTTTTTCCCGCTTTTGTTTCTCATTACTGCCACTTTGGCGGCTTTTATCAACGGATATGTTCCAAGCTTGCACACCCCCTGAAAAAAGCTAGGAATTCAATAAGTGTGCTGAAGTAATGGATAGATGGATATGAAACAACTTATTTATAATCTGATAAACTCTTATAATACCAGCACCTTATAATCATCGGATCCCAGGTCGTATATCATAATGCCGGCAAGGTTGTGTGCTTTCGTGTAATTCGCCTTTGAAAACATCGCTGTTGGATTTTCTAGTCCTAACCATTGCCGATCACCACCGTAAATATATGCTGATCGTGTCTTTCCATCGAACACATATTTATAATTCTTTGTTTCCGTCAGATTACACACCTCAAAAGAAGTTTTCTGAAAGACTGAAGCACTGGAAAAAGGATGAGGGCGAGAGGTTTTGTTGGAAGTATTACTAAATGACAGCTGATGACTGTTTGACAGAAGGAGATGACCAGCTGACAACAGAGTATTGATATGATTCTTTTTTAGATGTACCCATTTAGGGTTTCCTTTCTTTACTGGAACAACCAAAACTGACCAAATCTTTAGTACAGCTTTTCTTTCAGTAACCTAATGATTAATCGAATGCGGTTTTCAATTCTAATTCACCTACTTATCAACTTGTTGTTATTATTTAAATCTTAATCGGGTGTCAAATTATACTTCTTCGTTTGTTCCAAAGTTCTAGAAATGGACTCTATGGGATTCGACAATACCCACTTCAAATTACGATAAGATATACGAGACGGATTTTATACAAGAATAAGTGAATGAATGTACTGATTAGGGTTTTTATATGAAAGGTACCTCAACAAATGAATACATGGCACCGATATTTGCATGTCCGATAGCTGGAGCGTAGAGGAAGTGAAGGTACTTGCTGAGAAGCGTATATCCACGTCCGTACGTGGGTATGCCGAATATGGTCTTGTTGGCCCAGAGACCCCTTTTGAGCCAGTGTTGAGTCGAATAATGCTGCAGTAATGATCAATTTAGTTTTATTTCAAGTCCGATGTGACAGCTCTTCCATGACGAGATCAGTTGCAAATTAACCGAATTCATTTTGCCGAATATTCCAAATTCATACGGTTTACGAAACAGTGGTGCGTTAAAACCTGTGAAAGGTTCTAGCTTGGAGTACATATGGAAATCGTAGTTCATAATTTGGACATAGTCCAAATACCTGAAAGAAAATTATCCATGCATTTGTTTAAGGTCAGCTACAATTCTTAAATCACTTTACACCAACATCAGGTTTTAACGTTTTAATAATAATAATAATTATTATTATTCTTGTGAAATCACATCTGCAATCGCTTTCTGTTTGATGATTGCTACTAAATCATATCAAAGTTTTGTTTCTAATCAAACTGAATCAAGTTCATTCAATGCGCTGGCAGTCAGAGACCTACAGAGCACAAATTAAAGGAGAGAAGACTTAATATCCAGAAGCAAAACTGAATATGAAAGAATGACTTGTTAAATGAATTAATATCATAAGCCTTATCAACAATTGTAGCGGGTGCAGCCACTGCTGCACTTAGCAGTAGATTGCGTTTCGCCTGATCGAAACTTTCTCGTAGTTCCTAAAAGGATTGGAAAATATTAATCATTTTGATTGACTTAACTCTCAAAAAGGATACCTTCCTGAAAAGAAAAAAAAAGAAGATTATGATGATGCTGTTAGGATCATGAGCAAAGAGTTTACTTTGACAAGGACAGATAGACCTTTTCTATCCGTAGGCTGTGCATCCCAACTCCATACCGGGAATTCCCAATCGATGTCGAAACCGTCAACCTCGTTCGCCACCAAATACTGTGTTACATCTTCCACCAGTTTTTTTCTTAGTTCATTGCTTTTTGTCTATAAACAACAAAGCCAACTTTTCCCTTATTTCATTTACACTTTGAGATTTGAAATGATGTACATAAGATATTAAGGTGATCACCTTTAGGAGAAGGGATTTTAAGGGAGATTAATCATTTGATATTAATTTTCAGGAATTCAAAGGAAATTATAATTGAAGCCCCAAAATGCTGTATATAAAACGATTGGATAGGGCTAAAACAAAACAGGGAATATTTTGAGAAAGAATAGGAAAGACTAAAATAGAAGAAGAAGGAGATTTCAGACAAAAAGATAGCTGCAAAAGTTGCCTAATAATATAGGGGTCCGAATGAACCAAATATAACTTCAAGCAAACGTTGCAGTCTCAAATATCGCATTTAACACTGTGTGAAAAATAAAGTAATTAATGAGAGAACAAACTTACGAGGTGTGATATACGGCTGTTAACAGGTGTTAGAGTAATCAACAATTTAGGTGACCGTTGACCATACAACCACTCTCTTACTGTAGCTACTGTAGTAGTATTAGGCAAAGCGACGTGATAATGTTCGTCGATTGTACAGGAGCCGATCAAATTATAATGAGTGCATAAATTCTCTTCGAAATAGCTTACAGGTGGATTTTCTTTTCTTAAATGCAATATTAATAGCGTTTAAGGAAATAGCTTTTAAGTAAGTTTAAGATATATTGGTATTTTCTAAAAATGCCAATTGAACTAACCAGGTAAATTATAACTATGCCATAACTAGATGAAGCATCTGTATATTATGAAAGTGATAATAAGCCTTTCTGAAAAACAAAAGGAAGTTAGAAATTACTGAAAATAACAGGTTATAATTGGCTGAGATTCCAGGATCGGAAATACATAGATGGCATAGATAATCATCAGTGGTAGAACCATCTGAAATTCAACATTAATTTACCACAAAAATACTACTTGGCCAAAGCAAACCACGATCGATCGAACTTTCAGTGCAGAAAGCTTAACACTATCGACTGTCGAAGCCTCCAGTTATTTGCAGAAATTAGTTATAATCATGAACGTAATCGTCATAGTAATTTAAAAATAATGAAAAAATAATTATTTTATTGCTAAATAAACATGCGATATGATAATTGATAAGCTTTCATGATAGAAACTCCAGCATGATAAAGATAATAAGAATGCTAGGGAAAACGTTCCTATGATCTATGTCATTGTTTATGTTTTTCAAGTTACTGATAATGACTGCTGCACTTACATTAAGCCCTTGAAATGAGGAACACTTTGTAGAAGAATGTCAAGTGCAGCGCACATATGTATACTAGATTATTAGTCAATCTGTCATACTAAACATGATTCTATGAATGCATCATGAATAATGCAAAGGTATGATAAGTATTTTATTGTCATCCTACCACTATCATTAAATAAAGAAGATAATAATTTGATGTAATTTTGAATACAAATAATCTTAACAATCACATAATAATACGGTTTTATAATCAATAATCAGTATTATAGTACCTCTCAATTTTCCTTTAAAATTTGTTGGATGTGTTTGATAAAATATCTTCTGTTAGTTATCTTCAAATAATTTTTAGAATATTTGTAATAACATTTCAAATGTTTTGCATCTGTTTGCGTTTTCATTATTTGCTTGATTGTACCAATGTTACTCAAACAGATAACATTGCTAGAATGAAGCAAATAATGACAAGTGGAAAAGTTATCTTTTCACATTATTAACTGAATGAATTCTAGTTTAATTTTAATTTATTACCTTCTCCTTCCTGTTTTTCCAATAGATGGAGAGTCAACTGGTAATCTTTAAATATCACTATTCAACCTGTTTTAGCACTTCTAATTTTTTAAACGAAGACATTTGTTGAACATCTGACATGAGGCAGCATTTCGCCCATTTTTCGTTCATCATTTTAGCCTAAACATTTGATTTTATTTTCAAGCCATCCATAACAACCCTTTACATATGAATTCAAGTTACTGAAAAGTTTAATGACGAATAATATATGCTAATACTGCTATCACCAGAAAGGAACAAAAAGAAAAAAAGAAAACGTACTGGTTGGAATTCATTTTCAGATTGTGTCAACCGAAAAAAAAGATTTATAAACGATAAAAAGAAACAGAACTCGTACTGCTAGCCAGAGACAAGCTTTTAATAGC